CTTGACTCACTTGTCCATACTCCAACACGCCTGCAATTTCCATTATCATGTTCATGCATTTTTCTATGTGTGCAGCAAACTCCTACTCAGACTTCAAGATCTTGTTCAAATGTCCCCTCTTTGAAGCCTTCTTTCTCACCTAAGACATAATTTGTATTGCTCTCCTTCCTCTGGGCTCCAACAAAATCTGGTGTAGGGTGAAGTAGTGCAAAGGGCAGACCTTCTGCTGTGAAAATCATCTCAATTTATACCTGATGCTCACATCTACTAACAGCATGCTCGTAGGTAAGTTAACCTTCCCGACGCTTAGTCTCTTGATTTTTAAAACGAAGACTGTTAATTCCCTATATTTATGGGGATCGTCAATGATGTTGTATTGGCAGTTTGCCTGCCTATATTTCTCTTCGTGAGCTTGTTGAAATGAGAAATCTTATTAACTTTTTTTTGCTGCATCACAAGGCATCTAGCACAGTGCCTAGTGCTTTGCAGCAATGTTATTTTAATTGATGGATAGTTCTGGAAAAGTAACTCAAGTACTGATAAGCCAATTAAAATCCAAGCTCTTCTATAAAGGGCTCTCTGGTCATTTTCATGACCGTGAATTTAATTCTTACAGCTTTTATACACACTACTAATAAGGCTCTTGTCACCACCTGCCTTCCCAGATACTAATTGATTCTAAGCTCCTCCAGGGCAGTAACCTTGGCTTTCACTCTGAACTCCTTAGGACATTTCACAGTGCTCTGTAAATGCTAGCTAATGATAGGGTTATTTAAAACACTACATTCTTGTTCCCATTTCAGACAACTTTCCTCCTCACTTTATGCTGAATTTACCACAAGGTCTCAGACACCCAGGCCTCTGCAACAGTGACTTGTTTCTGCAGTCCTTGCCCCTGGCTCAAAGTGAGCAGCATCTCCTGACCTAGCTTTCCTAACTCTCCACATAGTTGCTCTCTCCTTTCTGCAGCGCATTTTCTCATCTCTTAACTGTCTGCTTTCTGCTTCTGGGCAAGTTTTCCATTGATGTGTTTATGTAGATTTGGAAAACTTTGGTTTATTACCAATCAATGCTTGAGTAAATCTCATGGAGAATTGCTGATGGAAGGCACCTTAAAAATCAGTGAATCCAGGGCAGGGATTATGAATAGAGAACAATTCTCAATGTTGAACTAGAGATGACTTAATTGTGGCACTTTTTTTCTTCTTCTTCTTCTGAGATCCTATATGGCCTCAGAATCCTTTTCAAAATATGACTCCAGTTAGAAACTACCAATCCATCATCAGTTTACAGAGGAGATGAAACTTTTTTGATATCTGTGATATTGTTTAAAGCTTTTATTTTGTTAATAAGGCCCAATGAGCCATGCTGACTTGGTAATGAACTGAAACCAGAACCCAGATTGGTGACCCTGTTGATTTACAATTTAGGGCTTCCCTTGCCACATGAGTACCCCCCTCCTTCAATAGCCAAGTCCTAGAATTTACATTCTATTCATATCAAAATACTTAATGGTGTTTAACATATATGATCAAAAAGCATACCACATACATTTTGGCAAGACATCTGGCCTCTCATTGATGTTAGAAGCTCTTGGGGAGAAGGGCCTATGTTAAACTTTGTATCCTTCACAGCCCTAGCCCTATGTCTGGCACAGGGTAAATATTCAATAAAAATTCTTATATCTATATACATATATATATCCAACTCTATATATAAAATGGACAGATCTATCCTTAAATTCTCACCAGGAATCACCGAAAAATCCTACCATCTTGTATATAAATAGTATTTGTTTGAGAGGACTGTGTGCTATGGTGTCACATAACCTCACATTGTTTTTAGAATGACACCGTATATTGAAATAAATTTTCATTTCACTTGAATGTTTTAGGGGAAAATAAATTATTTAATTAATTTATTTTTATAATCATAAATTTATAATTTATTTTTATAATTATAAATTTATAATAATTATATTTATAATTTATTTTTATAATTTATTATTATAAATCATTATTATCACTGTGTTGTCCAGTGATACTTCTACTTAAAAATTACATAGGCAATGCTGTGGTTTGGGCCTCAAAGGCCTGAGAAATGATAGCTTTTCTTCTGGTTTTCTATGGTGACATCTATTGACTATCACTTGTGGGTCTACATGGTGCTCATTATCCATAATTGTTAGGTCAGAAAGTGAAAGAAAAGGATATGAAGAGAAAGAGAATATGAAGAGAGAAGATGGGGGAAGTTATTTTACAACACAGTAATAAGATACTAGTATTATCCTTTCAAAAATAGAATTAAAAAGCTAGGCACATATAGCTAAAATCACACTTAAGGTCTGGAGCCAGACAAAGATGTCTGCTCTTGCCATTTCTACCCCACATTGTACTGGAGGTTCTAGCTGGGGCAATCCAGCATGAAAAAGAAATAAATGTTATCTACACTGGGGATGGGGGCAGTAAAACTCTCTCTTTTTGCATGTCATGATCTTGTATACAGAAAACTTTGAGGAATTCACTAAAAAAACTGTGGGTTCAACAAGGTTGTAGGACATAAGATTTATGTAAAAATAATTGTATTTCTATACATTTGCAATGAATCATCCAAAAATGAAATTAAGAAGACAATTCATATGTACAAGAATGAAGTTGGAATACTACCTTATACCATATACTAAAAATGAACTCAAAATGAATCAAACACTCAAATGTAAGAGCTAAAACTATAAAACTCTTAGAAAAAAATATGATGTAAATCTTCATAACTGCATTAGGCAATGAAATTCTTAGATATGACACCAAAAACAATTATAAAAGAAAAAAATGCATAAGTAAGACTTAACCAAAATTAAAAACTTTGTGTATCAAAGGATACTATCAAGAGAGTAAAAAGACAACCATAAAATGGGAGAAAATATTTTAAAGCATATATCTGACAAGGGATGAATAACCTGCATATATAAAGGTCTTCTACAATTCAATAATAACAACAAAACAACCAATTTAAAATGGGCAAAGGAACTGAATAGACATTTCTTCAAATAAGATACACAAATGTCCAATAAGCACATGATGTTCAATATTAATAGTCATTAGAGATATGAAAGTCAAAACCATAATGAGATACTACTTCATACCAACTAAAATGGCTATAATCAGAAAGGCAGGCTCACGCCTATAATCCTAGCACTCTGGGAGGCCGAGGCGGGTGGACCACTCAAGGTCAGGAGTTCAAAACCAGCCTGCGCAAGAATGAGACCCCGTCTCTACTAAAAATAGAAAGAAATTAATTGGCCAACTAAAAATATATAGAAAAAATTAGCTGGGCATGGTGGTGCATGCCTATAGTCCCAGCTACTTGGGAGGCTGAGGCAGAAGGATCACTTGAGCCCAGGAGTGTGAGGTTGCTGTGAGCTAGGCTGATGTCATGGTACTCTAGCCCGTCCCAAAAAAAAAAAAAAAAAAAAGGCGGGGCACGGTGGCTCACGCCTGTAATCCTAGCACTCTGGGAGGCCGAGGCTGGTAGATTGCTCGAGGTCAGGAGTTTGAAACCAGCCTGAGCAAGAGCAAGACCCTGTCTCTACTATAATAAAGAAATTAATTGGCCAACTAATATATATAGAAAAAATTAGCCGGGCATGGTGGCACATGCCTGTAGTCCTAGCTACTTGGGAGGCTGAGGCAGCAGGATTGCTTGAGCCCAGGAGTTGGAGGTTGCTGGAGCTAGCCTGATGCCATGGCACTCACTCTAGCCTGGGCAACAAAGTGAGACTCTGTCTCAAAAAAAAAATAAAAAGGAAGACATATAATAAGTATTGGTGAGGATGTGGAGAAATTGGCACCATCATACACTGCTGTGGAAATGTAAAATGGTACAACCACTTTGGAAAACAGCCTGGCAGCTCCTTAGAATGTTAAGCATACAGTTATATGACCCAGCAATTCCACTCCTAGGTGTATAATCAACAGCAATAAAAATTTGCATACAAATGTTCACAATGATGTTATCCATCATAACTTAAAATTGGAAACAACCCAAATGTCCATCAACTGATGAATGAATAAATTAAATGTGGTATTATCCACGTGATGAAATATTATTTGGCAATAAAAAATCAAATAAAAAGAAAGTATTTTAACTTGGTACAAATAGATGCATCTGGAAAACATTATGTACATGAAAGAAGCAGTCACAAAAACAAAATAGTGCATGATTCTATTTACATGAAATATCCAGAATAGGCAAATCAACAGAGACAGAAAGTAGATTAGTGGTTGCCTATGGCTGGGTTGTGGGTGGGAGGATGGGGAAATGGGAAGTGATGGCACTCACTGGACACAGGATTTCTTCACGGAGTGATGAAATGTTCTAAAATTGATTGTGGTGGTTGCACAGCTCTAAATATACTAAAAGCCACACTGTATTGCATACTTTATGTGAATTTTATCTCATAAAGCTGTCATTTAAACAGATGTACATGTACATATTTGAGTGAATATTTTAATTTTGGTGATTAGATTGTATCCATTAATTCTCTTTATGTCTGTCACAACAATCCATGTATTCACTCTAATGATCCATGTGTATATTTCCTTGAGCACTGTCTTAGCTTAATGATGTGTAACAGAATAGATATATTTTCTGATGAGCAGATGCCTTTTATGAAATCCATCTTTTTTAGAAGTTTAATTTAAAAGAAAAAAAATTAAAGAAACAAAAACACCTAAAGTGTCTTTTTTTCTTCTCCATTGCAATCTTCACATCACCTTCATCAACACATTGTTTCTGCTGCCCACTAGCAGCTTTATCCCCAGTATTGAATATATTTACTATAAATTCACTTAATCAGAAATGACATTATTATATTACATTTCTAACAGTGCTCTGCTGTCTGGTAGCTACATAATTTGTTTGCTGCTGAAAACCTAAATGTTAATTATAGTTAAATCCATGGCAACCGAGAGAACTTGATATTTCCATCATTTTGTACCTACCCCTTTTGAATCAATCACTCCAGGTTTGGCGTTAAACTTCACTGTCTTCAATCGGGCACGTTCCTTTCTTTCCACCCTAAAGCAAGTTGAAAATAAAGAATCTATCACATGACAAGGCATACATGGTTAAGTTCCTTATTAAGTTAAGAACACCTCTTCCTCCTATCCTTTAGCTCAAATAAAATGTCATCTAAAATATTCCTCTTCCTTTGTTCCATAAAAAATCTTGGGAGAAAGTCTGTAAGCTTTTAACATGTCTCTTGAAATTTCTGTGTGACATGTACTGAGAATCACAGTGTTTGGAAGGAACACAGAGGGAGAAAAAACCATATTTGTTATTTAAATGCTTAAATAAATAAATAAATCAAAATCTATTTCAAGAAATCACAGTCCATAAAGATAAACATCTAAAGTGAAAATTAAGCAGGTGTTTCCTCTTCTCCTCTTCTCACCTCTTCTTTTCTTCTTTCTTTTTCCTTTCCTTCCCCTTAAGAATACAAGTGTATTTACTTTCACTTGATAACCAAACATGTTATATATAATCTTGAATTTTTCCTTTTTCCTAATGTCCTTCTCTTGTCATCTCTGCAGATTCATTTTTTCCTGCCACTTCATTCATTTTTAAAATAGTTATTGAGTGCCTGCCATGTATCAAGCAAGCAGCTGGGGAAGAAAGAAACAAAAATTCTAAAAGCATGACTGCAATGGGCTCCTACCAATATGCTCTGGGCAAGAGCAGAGGCTGATAATGTTGTACGATAAGACTGTGGATATCAACGTGGGAGCACCTATGTCACTGGGAGGGTAAAATGGAGGGGTTGAAAGAGTTGGGGTGGGCTTCTTAGAGGAACTGTCAATTTATTTGAGACTTAAAGGATGAAAAATAGCTTGTCAGTAGGAAAAGTCCAGGGGGAATTCCCACAGGAACAACATGTACCTCCACCCAAGGATCTGAGCAAGCTAAAAGCCTGCAGGAAGATTTTGGTGCAGGGTATGTACACAATGGGGAGGTGAGCCTTGCAAGGTGGCGGGCCCCATCCACACTAAGGACTAGGGGTTTTTTCCTTGGGGAATCCTCATGAGTTATTAGAGCAGGGGAGTGATAGAACCAGATTTGCATTTTAAATAAATGACCCTGGTGGAGGTGGAAGGTAGACTGGAGGAGGGAAGGAGCAGGAGGAGGCTGGGGGCCCATTCAGAAGCTCTTGCCGCAATCCAGGCAAGAAACGATAATGAGACGGAAGAGAGGAAAGAGCTTGAGAAAGATCAGAAAAACAAAGTTGGTAGGACTTGTGCCTGCTTGAAGGCTGGGGTTGAAAAAGAGGAATCTAAATTTTATTTCCTTGATTTTTCTCAGCCTTTTCGGTTAGATATGGTCATTCCTTCTTCTAAGCCACAACAGCACTTATTTGTGTCTCTATGTCAATATCATCTTTTGATTTCTTTGCATTTATTTTTGCATTGTATGTACAAGGTTGTGTGTTTCTTGAGGGCAAACTCTGCATATCACTCAATGATACAGCAATCGATCCTCAATAAATAATTGTTGAACAAAAATAATATTCACTGCATTGATTGTTTTTTCTGAGACAGAGTCTTGCTTTGTTGCCTAGGCTAGAGTGAGTGCCGTGGGGTCACCCTAGCTCAAAGCCACCTCAAACTCCTGGGCTCAAGTGATCCTTCTGCCTCAGCCTCCCGAGTAGCTGGGACTATAGGCATTCACCACCATGCCCGGCTAATATTTTATTTCTATTTTTAGTTTACTGGGTAATTTTTTCTAGTTTTAGTAGAGATGGGGGGGGGGTCTCACTCTTGTTCAGGCTGGTCTTGAACTCCTGATTTCAAGCGATCCTCGGCCTTGGCCTCCCAGAGTGCTAGGATTACAGGCATGAGCCACCACACCTGGCCACTGCATTGTTTTAATGTGACTTTCTGTTTAAATATGGCTAGCTCTAATTTCAAAAACAGGGAAAGAGAAGACAGAGAGAGAAAATAAAACAAAAACCTGAACCTACAGAAACTTAATGGTTTCTGAAGTCTAAGCTATTCATAGATCAATAATTAACAGCATATTCCTTTCTAACTGAGAGCTCTTTTGTGTTCCCCACCGAAACACAGTGAAGATTGGGGTTTCTATAGTTACAGAATAGAGTTTCAGAATATATTTATTTCAGTGTGAAAGTCGAATATCTGAGTGGAAACAGCAACGTGTTCCACCAAGAGTTTCTCCTTGCACCTGACATGTGTGAGGAGAGCAAGGAAGATTTCAGATGAGATGAGCTGCCTGGTGGTAAAATGCTCACTAAGAAAATGCCTTCTCCAAGCTCCATCCCCTCTTTTCAATTTTAATCCAAGTGCAAATCGCAACTCATATTCATCTCTTTGGATTCTTCTAAAGCTGTTCTTAGACCCCTAACTTTATTCTTGTTTCTTTGCATTAACTAGGCTAATGCTGGGAACCACTAGTTTATTCAGTGATGCCAAAATGACCATGACATGTAGAGAATACAAGGTTATTTGATCAGGGTATGCAAATAAATCCTGCATAAAACCACAGAACTCATGCAGGTCCCAAACATACATGATAGTAGGCTGAACTCAGTATTCTACTCTAAGAACTGTTTGAACAGAACATTCTAATATATTTCCCTCTGGTTTCTAAATTTATTCTTTTCTGTTTGCTTAAGAAATATCTCTATTAGGGAAATTTTAGTGGTTCATCCCTTAAATCTTAAAAGGGTTGCAAAGAATATTAAGTCAAGACAGATGGATACACAGACACACACAAATATACATACAAACTCACCTAATATTTGCTACGGCTTATTAGCATTCATCTTCAAATAAATAATAAAAAAGGTAAAATAAAATGTTTTTGAAGTCTTACAGAGGTGAAATGATTTTGGTTTACTCAAGAAGGAAGTTGGAAAATTTAGCTTCTTATTTGGAAAATCTCACGAATAATGATAATGATAATATAAATAATAGCTGGAGCTTTCACATATTAATATAATTATTAATAAAGCCCCTTCACATTTACATCATCTAATTTGGCCCCCACAGCAGCTCAGTGATGCAGGTATTATCCATCCCATTTTATGGCTGGGGAAGCTGAGACTTGAAGCTTGCCAGATTAAAAAAGTGGTAGAAACAGAGCCTGAACATGCATTCTCCAACAGCTAACTTCCACAGCAACCCAGTTTGGGGAGCAACATTCAAGGACCCTTCTATGCATACCTTAGCAAATGGGGATTCTCAATACACATGAGATTTCTGTCCACAGCAACCCAGTTTGGGGAGCAACATTCAAGGACCCTTCCATGCATACCTTAGCAAATGGGAATTCTCAATACACATGAGATTTTGCATAGGTCAGCCACATTTCAAGCCCCATACATATCCTAAAAGTCTGGGCTGAGTATTTCACAAATGATAACCATCCCCTCCTCCTAGCACTGCCATCTCCTAATTGTCCTAAATTAAATAAACCACAATCTAATGCAAGTATATAATTACTGAGATGGTAGCATATCATAATAGGCTGACCTCAAAATTCAGAATAAATTTGCTTTTAACACTGAAATCGGCTTAACTAAATGTCTATATGCAACATTGCATCACACATATTGAATGGGTCTCTCGCCCCATACCCGCAACCGCAGTTGTGCTTTCCCATCACAGAGACCTGCCCCCATTGCTCCTTGGGGCTTCTGCAAACCTCTCTCCCTGGTAGTAGTGTCTGTGGCTTATCTTTTCGTCCTCACCTGCCTCAGCCCTTTCCTCTCTCCTATCTCTTTCTGGGATGCATGTGGCTAGTTCACTACTGAAATGAGAGTTAAGGCTAGGAAACAGGAATGATGTAGTGTTTTTTCCCTTGGGCACCAGAAGCTCAAAATCTGCAAAAAGGAAAACAGCCATCATTTGAATGGACTGTAATTATTAGAAGCTGTGCTAAGCACTTCACCTGTATGATCTATAATCCAGGGCTTAATATGGAGCTGGGCACATAGTAGGTGCTTAATAAATCTTTGTTGAATGAATGAATGAACTCTCAAAGAAGCTACTATATCTCGATCTACATGTGAAAAGGTCAGAGAGTTGAAGTGATTCGGTGAAGAACAAGTGTTTCCTATAAAAAGTCATTTACCATTTTATAACTTTTCGTCTTGGTAAGAATCTAGGTAAAAGGTTAGCATCACTTTCTCTAATTGTTTTACTGAGTAAGACTCCTCCTCTCACACTTAGACTCCAGCAATTAATTAGATTGTTTAAGCAGAAATAATTCTCCCCACCCAATCCTCATCACTGACCAAAATACTGAAGACATAAACTGGATGGCAAAATTTGAGCAATCAATTCTGACACCTTGCATCTCCAGAGAACACTAAATGGTCATGCTTTATTTAACGAGTCCAACTGTCTGCCTCTCCCTCTCACCCATCTCCCATCTGGTATTTTATGGTTCCAGCCAAACACATAATGGGGTCAGTCTTGGAGCACTGGACAGTGGGAACATCATTTGTCACCGGGAGTTCCTTTACAATGCCATCCACATCAGTGGCCACAAGCTTGTGGTGAAGGTTAGGTGAGTAAACGCTTATGTAATGCCAGTCACATGCTGCCATCTGAGAGCCCAGGTGACCAGTCACTGTGGAACGATGAATCGAGACTTGGATTAAGAAACCATGGGGCAAATCCCAGCTTGGCCACTCACAAACTGTGTAATCTCAGAAAACAAATTCTATGCTAAGAGCCCAAGTTTTAAAATTACACAAGCCTGGGTTTGAATTCTGCCTCTGCTACTTACTAGGTCTTTGACATAGGGCAGTCATTCAGTCTCTTAGGATCTCAGGCTTCATGTTAGTAAAATCAGAATAGTAACACAGACTTGAAAAAATGACAGTGAATATTAAATGGAATAACACAAGAAAATTGTTTAAGTGTCTGATGTATAGTAAGAACTTAGTGCACAGTAGGCTGCTGCTGAGATGATTATGATAATGCTGTTCATGATGGTACTTGTCATCACCAGTCCCAATTTCCTTACCTGTAAAGGGAGGTAATACAGTACCCTTCTTCAGGTGCTCACTGCCAAGGTTAGTCCCTCCCTGCCAAGTGGGATAGAGCCATGGACTTCTCTCTTTCCCTACCAGGAGAGTCCCAAATGTGGGCCACCAGACTTGAGAGCTGTAGGCCTGAGAAGAGCCCCAAACCTTTGCAGTTGCTCATAGAGGCATCAGAAAGGCATGTGTTCAAATCCTGGCTTAGCCCCCTACTAAGTATGATTTGTAATTCTCTGACTCTCCATTTCCTTATTGGCAAGTACTTCTGCTGTGGTAGAAAGCCATCCGGTCTTGCCACCAGAGGCTGGCTGTGCATCCTTGGATAAGTTACTTGACTTCTCTGACCCTCAGTTTCTTTATGAGATTTTTATAAAAAATTCAATTAAAATTGTGTATTTGAAAGCACCTGGCGTGATATGTGGTCAGTGCAATCATCAGATGGAATTCATCCTCTGTCTGCTGCCCTTTCACTTCTCCTGGTGCCTTTACAATATAGCTCTCACTGCTCTATTCAGAGTAGCTGTGGCATAGTTACATGCTGGTCGCACAAATGATGGGCACCCGGCAGTGACCCTATAACAGCGCCTGGCACACAGGTGCTGCCCAAGCAACGCTTGCTGAATTGAGTTTTGTCAGCTCTCATTTTCGTACCTTTGAGAGGCAGGACTCCATGTGAGTCAAGAGCAATTCTATAGCCTGGATTCCAATCCTGGTTCTGCCATTTACTAGATGGGCAATTTCAGGCAAATTAATTACCTCTCTGAGCCTCAACCTCCTCATTTGCAAAATGGTAATCATAATAGCATCTCACTCATAGGGTTGTAATGAGGTTTAAATAACTTAATAATTATAAAGGGTTTAGAAGAGTTTTCTAGCATGCTATGCGAATGTTTTGTTAAGCAAAATTTACTTACCATGTTACAAAAAGGAGAGGGAAGGTGATAATATTCATACTCTTTATCTTATGGTTTCACTGGGATGATTAAATGGAATAATCAGTACAGAAACATTTCTGTAAAGGGTAAAGTCATTCACTGATAGTATCCATTATGAGATTTAAAATTTTTCTAGATTTGTTCTACTAGATAAACTACACTCAGGAGATGGGCTAGAAAGGAATTAGGGATTAAAAAGTAACACCAATCTAACAAATTTCTGTAGTTTTTAAATTGCATTAAAATAAGTACATGAGGACTCTCTTTGGGGTAAGATTATCAGTGATTTTATTTTCCTATACTTTTTAAAATTTCCTACTCTTCTATAATACAATGAAAGGTGTTACTTTTACAAATACTTAAAACATTAAAAGTAACCTTTTTGGAAATAATTAAAATCCTAAAAAGAAAACCTGGCAGAAATTCATTTAGAGCTACAAATTATATATATGTTTGGGAGGTGGGGCTACTGAACCCCTTCATAAAATAGAATGTAAATAAATATCAATATTGCAGTCACTAAACAAACTTCTTTTCCAGGCCAGCTATAAGGTAGTCGTTAAGATGGTTTTCATGCAAGGTAGGAGAGAAATAGCTAATTTAAGAATGATCACCAGCAGGCAGAAAATCATTTTAGGAGGAATAGTTGTGAGAATGTTCCTTAGGGAGAAATGATGAGCAATTGAACAAATGAATGGCTGTTGATGAGAGTGGTTAGAATCACAGAACCTCAGGGTTGGAAAGGGCCTGCAAATCAGACAGTTCAACTCTCCCATCTAAAGTCTGAATCTCTTTTATATCTTCCCAAGTCATCCATGCTATCTCCAGGAAGTTCCAACTTGTAAAAGGATTTCTTTAAAATGAACCGGAATCTGTTCTCACACAGCTTTTCTTCCTCTGCCTCATTTCTATCTTTGGGGCCATATTCAACAAGATGGCTCTAGAGAACAGCCCCTCGGACAGCTCTGATTAATTAAGTCAAAGAAAACTAACATGCATGTCATCTTGCCTTTTTTAAAAAAAATTTGAAGTAAGTGGAAATGGAGAAATGTAGAGTATAAACAAACTAGTGCTGAGTCAACGCTTTAAACATATAACCTTTCAGAAAATGCTATAAGCCATGGTACGGTTAGAAAGCCCTCACAAAGCAATGTCAGGCAATTGTGCAGGAGCCCAGAGGTTTAAAGAGACCCAGAGAATTGCCTGCTGGAGATCTGAGATCTGTGGGCACAGGCACGGAGGATGGAGCAGCTCCCTGGAGTTTCAGCCTCATCACTATGACTCCTCCCCACTGAAGGTACAAGAGCCGAAGAGCAGTGGGTTTGATGTCCTCCCCGCCATGCTCCTCCCCAGGCTGTGTTGTCACAGGCTGAGACACATGAGGACCAGTCTTCTCAGGGGCACAAATGTCCCACAGAGTTATTCTGTGGTTTAGCCGACATCTTCCCACTATGGTTTATACTAGCTCAATCACTGTGTCACTTGAATACTTGGCTTTACTGTGGATTTTTATAAGGCATTTTGGCTGTTTGGACATGAGAATGACAGCCCTTTGAGAAATCTGCAGCTTGAGCTAAGTTGGTGACTGCTTTGAATAAGCATTATTCCTAGCTGACTTTGTACCATATCTATTTTCTAGAATATATCCAATTTCTGCTTCTTGAACAACATCTTGGTGCCAAAAAAACATTCCTGGCAAGGAAAGTTCCTCTCTCGTGATGATTAGAAGCTTCTGGGACCTATGATGGAGTTGGCTGTTCTTAAGGCCATTTCTGCTTTTTGAAAGCAGAGCTGCAGGAATACTTGAACGAGAAAGAGCATGATACTCTAGACTTAGGAAACACATACAGAACAAAATATCTGAGTGACTACTGGGAATTGTGGGGCGGGAAACAGGAGTAACTGAAGCAGTAAAAACCATTGTAACTCCAGTCTTTAAACCTTACCAGATGTTTGACAGCTCATATCCTAAGTATCTGAATTTGAGATGGAGGTTTTCAGGTTTTTTTCCATTAACATTTAGAGGTATTACATAGCAGGGATCCTAGCCTAGTAAATGGCCTACTTTATTTGGCTTTCGCCTGGCCTTTCTATAACACTCATTGCTAAATGTTGAATCTCTGGAATAAACCCACTGAGTTTGTAAGTCAGGACATACAGGCTGTTAAGAGAATCTTGCACATGCAGATAGATGCTGGTAAACGTTTTAGGAACACACTGTAAGCATATGCTCTTTCTTATGCCTTGTCACAGTTACCAATTTTGGTAAAACTCTAATATGAGGAGAATGAGAAATTTTAATTCATGTCATCTGTCACCACTGGCAGTTTTCCTGCATATTGACTATCCGGCTTGAATAGCTATTTTGTGAACAGTTTCTGCCCCCCCCCCCCCCTTCTTCTTCCTTCACCTCCACTCCCTGGATAGCTGAAGAACAAACATGCTGGCACGTAAAAGGCATTCTTACCTCCGCTTGCTGGGGATGACCCCCATCTCCTCGCTGTCCCCCTCCAGCGTGACTCTCCTGGCTTGCCACCACTCATCATCAGAGGCGTTGATAACATGTAGAATATCTCCATATTTAAAACTAAGTCCTTGACTTGGCAGCCCACTGTCCTTGCTCTTGTCATAGTCAAACATGGCTCTGGAAGAAATGACCAAAGAGGACATTGTTAGGAATCTCCAGTAACACAGATTTAGGATTCATGGTTTCATATGTTCACTCATCCTCGGAGAATCTGTCATTCATTTGATACCAACTCCCAGGATGACTCCCTGGGTCACAGTCCACATTTCTATAGTTCTAGCCACAAATTGAGGTTAGTTCTTGCTTCTGCTTGGTGGTTACAGGGGCAGTCTATACAGCCCTAAAACTAACGTCTGCTTCTTTTCTTGGAGACCATCAGATGTTATAAGGTGATAATAAGAGATAAGAAAGGCAGTTTACTACCTAATTGAGATTTCTTTCTCCCACTACAAGCAAATGTTAAAAATTACTAAAAGAGAGAGAGAGAGAGAGAGAGAGAGAGAGAGAGAGTAATAAAGAGATTTATGGCTATCTTTCTGAATGAAGCATTTTGTGTTATAAAAAATCCTCTCAGATGTATCAGCCTGTAGAACTTTCTTTCATAATGAGAAAAAATGGTAACAACTTAAATGTCCATTCATAGGGAACTGTGATTCTTCCACTCACTGAATATTGGGACCATCACTGAAACTGGATGGTTGAAGAGGTTAATGTAATGACCTGAATAAATGTTTAAAATGCAATAAATGAAAAAAAATCTATGTTTGTGTATGTATAGATAAAATTGAATGAACAGTGCCACAAATCTTTTTGCTTTAATATAATGCTAAGCCTACCTCATCAGCGTACTTAACTCTGAGTTATAATTTTTGCTTTTAGCATCAAGTTGCCCCTGCTAGAAAGGATTTGCTGAACATTTGTTATGCCCAATGCACTGTGATGTGTATGACTCCTGGCATGAGGGAGTTGGAAGTGGAATCAAAATGATGAACAAGACCTTAGTAATGAGATGTCTTAAGCAAGGGACCATTTGTCACAAGTCCTATATTGTCTGCCTCCTGCTGTATCCCCCACTCTCAAAAATCACTGCTGCACACATACAGCATATGATTTCCCCAGAGAAGTAGATTTTACCATTGGTCTGTTTATTTCCCTTTTGTTTTATTCTAAAAATTTCCTTGGAGTGTAACCACTATGCATGTAAAACTAGCAAGATCTGGGAAACAGATTTTTGTAAAGAATCTGTTTCTTTAGATATTTCCACACTGAGGACCAAATGTGGTTTTTTTTCCTACACAAAAAAGTTACATCTGCTGCCATGGCAACCAAAAAGAGCTGAAGACAGCATCTAGAGCTCTCAAATATGGCAGGAAAAGTTGAATTACTTGCAACACAGTCCCTTCTGCTATTAACTCTGTCTCCAAGAGATGGAATTTGGAGAGAATTTCTGGGTCCAAACTCCCAGAATGAATGATTCTCACCTCAATCATTTGTAACTTGCTTACCAAAGGCCCAGACAAAGCCACAAGCAGGAAAAGTGGGTTGGGGGAGGGCAAAGACACATTCCTGATGGTGTCACTTCTCTGGCTGAAGTGACACACATGAATTAACATTTCTGAGCCACAGGTTTTTTGATGCAAAATTAGTCTAATAATTACATTCACATGGAGCTACTGTGAGCATTAATGAAATAACACATATGCAGCTCCCAACCCATAGGAGGTACAGAGTGCCTCCTGGTGCAGTGGTTAGGAATATGGACTATTGGAACCACATCCTGGTCCTACTACATCTTATTAGTTATATAGCTAGTTACATGGGCAAGCTACTTAACCTCTCTTAGGCTTCAGTTTCCTTATATACAACATAGTGATGACGATGACAATGATGACAACAGTACCTCCATTATGGAGTGGTTGTATTGCGTGAAATATCACATAAGGTAAATATATGCAAAGCATGTATGGCAGTGCCTGGCCCACAGTGACACATGGTAAGTATAACTGATGTTGATGTTATTATCACCCCTTTCCCTTTTGTGCATACTATTAAAAATAAAAATTCTTTCTATAGATTCTCTTCTCTGTACAAAAAAGGGTAAATATAGAAGGCCTGAGACTGCTATCCTTAAAAAGGCCAACTTACAAGGGTGGTCCTTGTCTGACATCTGGGAACTCAGATTTTTGGGAAGGTTCCCACCATTTTCTCATAAGAATGGCTCACTGTGCCTGAACTCTTTGTACAAACAGTATCATTTATGCTAAACACCTGCTTTCCCTTTAGCAGTCTGGAATTGTGGTATATGCCAGGCAGAGGGTGCCCTCAATATAATACCAGGACACTGGGGCTCCAATGAGCTTCCCTGGTAGACACAGCATTTCACACCTATTGGCACAATTTGTTGCTGGAAGAATTAGGTACTTCCTGTGTGACTTCACTGAGAGAAGACTCGTGGAAGCTTGCATCTAATTTCCTCCAGACTCTGCCCCATGTTCCTTTCCCTTACCTGACATTGCTTTGTGTCCTTGTGCTGTAATAAGAGTTCTGTGAACCCTCCTAGTGAATCATCAATCCTGTGGGTTGTCCTGGGGAACCCTAACACACACTCTATGGATTGCAAAGCATTTTCATATGTTACCTTATTTGTGACTCAATCAATTGCTGCAAATAAGGTATGATAGACATAGTGTCATCACTGTTTTATAGATAAGGGACATAGCTAGTGAGGCCTTCTGATTAACTCCACGATACATGGCTCAGTGGCAGCAAAAAAGGACTAGGATTGCATCTCCAGACCCAAGTTCTAGTTCCATGCTCTTTACCTTGCCCCTCTTCCCCATTCAACCTGGGAGGGATGGTGGTGATGAGGGGTTAAAGATGACAACCACAATGGCTCCCACTATTTATGCTTTTGTTAGGTGGCTTGGCACCTGTAGTCACTGTCTTATTTGACGTCATAACAACCCTAAAGCTAAAAACTAATATCCCCAATTTATAGATGCGAGAAGGAGGCTCAGGAAGTTATGGGGCCTGGCCCAGGTCACCCAAATACATATGATAGAGACTGAATATTAAATGAGACCTGTCTGACTCCAAAATCCACTTTCTTGGCCATTTCATTATATGGCTCAATTTCCCAGGCTGCTGCCTCTGGCCATGTGGCCATGCTCATAGTACCAAAGACTGTTAATCTACCCTGATCAATTCTCTTCCCTTAATCCTTGAAGCTTAATGATCAATTCTCTTCCCTTAATCCTTGAAGTTCCATTACTGCTTAGCCCCTACTCCAGTATTTCTTATCTCCAAAAGTCCCTGAACTGCTGGCTTGCCTCCAGGTTCCTTCTTGATGTAAAGTGAAAGTAGAGAAGCCATCAGGAAGGATGGAGAATGGAAGTCAAGAAGGCAGGCTCTAGGGCCAGACTGCCCAGGTTTGCAACTTTTTAACTGTGCCGTCTTGAACAAGTTACTTAACATCTCTGGTCCTCAAATTTTCTTAACTATAAAATTGGCATAATAATAGCACTACCTACCTCAAAGCCTTATGGTGAGGATTAGATGAAATAATATATGTAAAGTATTGCAGCACCAGCCTGGCACGAGGTGAGGTCTCCATAAATGTTAGATATTATTGCTATTACAATTGTTATTCTGAAAAATGTACTAGGTTCTGAATCAGAGTGTCTGTGTCCCAATTAGTAGCTGTGTTTTGGATGGCTTGTAAAGACACCTAAAAGGATACCTTTGTATCCTCCGGACCCAGTACGGTGCTGGACACAAAGTAGATCCTCAATACAGGTCTGTGGAGATGTTTCAGATGGCTTTTAAAAACCCTTCTTCTTTGAAGGTCAGCATCCCCATTTGTAAGGAGGTGAGTGGAGGCTGTTCCTGGAGGTCCCTACCAGGCCACACATCCAGTCTACTGTGCTCCATTCTATTCCCAAAAGTCCCTGAGGGGAACTGTCCCACTCCTGCCTTTAGCAATAGGTGTCCTTGTCAAGGAGCTCAGCAACATGCTCTTTCCATGTGCTGAATTCATCTTGGACAATCTGCCCCTCATAGGATTAAATGATTCAGACTTGTCAGGTCCCCAAAACCAAGCAGCTGACACATTTCAGCAGCTTCTGGCTCCTTTGGATATTAATGGATCCTCATGTCTGAGAAAAATGCTACAGTGGCCCATCACCTAATTTAACAAGCCATAAGCTGTTTTTAATTTGCTTTGTGTGCTAATTCATCATAGCAACTTTTATAAAATGCCATTAAGATGCACACTTTCCACCCAGGGTGCCTTTTAACAAGTCCATTAGACAGTGGAATTTGATGCAAATAATGTAACGACTCTCCCATTCCTCCTGCCCCTCCTGAATTTCAATGTGTGATGGCCCCTTGCCAACTGGGGAAGTCTAGTAAGGGAAGGGGGAAGCAGCTGCTTATACTCATTGCTGTGCAAAATGGTTGTGAGATACCTGGGCACCTTACTAAAATAGTGCTTATTAGGTATTATTGTAAAAGGCACTAAGCCTTTTACATTCATTGTCTCACTCAATTTACTAGGTAGGCAAGATAGCATATGGGTTATATGCTAGGTTTCCAAGACAGAAAAGATCTGGGTTTAAGTCCCAATTTTACCATTACAAACTATAAATTTGGGGCACGTTCCTTAACCTTTTAGATGACCACTTTATTGCAGATGATCATTCCCTCATTTAGGAAACACAGATAATAATGGCATTAACCCCAAAGACTGTAGAAGAGATACAACAATAGGATGATGCATGTAATGTGCCCAACACAGGATGAATTCTACTTTGTTATCATTTCTTTATTTTTTCATTTTTTAAAAATATTTAGACATGGTCTCACTATGTTGCTCAGGCTGGTCTCAAATTCCTGGGCTCAAGCAATACTCCTGCCTCAGCCTACTGAATAGCTGGTGTTACAGGTGCGTGCCACCATGCTTGGCTTCACTTTGTTATTATTTCTGACAACAATCTTGCCAAATAAGTGTTTTTGGTCTTATAAAGATAATGAGGCCAGATGTGGTGGCTCATGCCTATAATCCTAGCACTTTGGGAGGCTGAGGCAGGAGGACTGCTTGAGGTTCAGGAGTTTGAGAC